GCGGATTTAGCTCAGTTGGGAGAGCGTCAGACTGAAGTCAACTTCAGTCCAGTTAATCTGAAGGTCCTGTGTTCGATCCACAGAATTCGCATAATTTTTTTGCAGTTTTAATTGGAAAAGCAGAAAGAATAATAATAAAAGTAATATTATGCATTGGATAAATAGCTAAGCTTATATACGTTTGTCGAGGTTTTGGAAGTGTCTCTTGCATTCCTCTGCCATACCCATAGGTAAGCTGAAAACTGGATTTATACAATTTGTATGTGAATCGTCTTCGTTAATCTTTTCATTTTCAATCAGATATGCAAATGTGTCAATTTCTGCCTTTTCACCTAAAGAGAACAGGAAGTAATGTTCGGTTATGCTGAGACCACAAATGGTATAATTTGTATGATAGAAATCGACAGATTTTCCGGGTTTATCTTTAAACCCACCAGTCTCAACATTTTGACAACAATTCAAAATGTAGCACCTTAATGCATCTCTGTCGAATATCGATTTAGTGTTAGATATCATTTCAATCATCGGATAGACGGCACCTATCCAAAAACTGTAGCAAGCATCAACCAATTTATTCGTACGTCCTGATAGCCCTCCTTCTAATAGGTATTGTCTCATGACGCACCATCTTATCAATAGATCAACATCAATTTGGTCCTTCATCTGTTGTGAGAAACCACCGTTCATAGGATCTAATAACAAGAAGTAACTAGCCACTCCGCAAAAGGTATAACCGCCATGCGCTTCCGTATTGGGAACACCGGCAAAACCACCTTCAAAAGTCTGACACAGGTTTAACCACAGCAAAGTACCCTCACATAATTCAGCAGTTAAAATATTCAACAAAGATGCAACCACTAGAACACAATACGTCGATCTAGTATCACTTTCTCCATTTTGGTGCATCATGAAAGAACCATTTGGCTTTTTCAAAGTCATAAACCATTTGTACAAATTTGGTCTAATTCTATTCAATAATTCATAATCCTCAACTAGTACAAGTGCCAAGATAGATGCATAAGTTGCAGCAGCGTGGCCTATTTGATTAGCACCTCCTGCAATGCCACCCAAGCCTTTATTAACCACGTTACGACATATTTTATCAGAAACAAGATTACGAATTTTGATATCTTTATTCCTTCCATTAATAATACTGTACGAATTAATCAACCAAAATAACAACCATCCATGATTTGCATCTAGAGACCTGTAATAATAAGGCAACGGATCAGTCAATGATGTCAAAATATATTTATTATGTTCTGTAATGCAAAAGGGCCTGTTATGAACTTTATCTGAGCTAGATTGAATTAAGCCCTTATAGATTAAGCCTACTACCCGCTGTACTTGACGCTGGGCTTCTGTCGTCGCTGAGGGATAATCATCAGTTATTACTGGAGTTGCAGTCAACATCATATTTAAATGAGAGTATATGTTTGGTTTTTCAATATCCTCATAATCCGAATCAGATTCATATTCTGCAGCTATAGTAGAAATATTCGTCTTACCTAAAAGATTTAACAAATAAGATAATTTCTCGCTATTTATATCATCTTTATCAGACATCTCTTGTCTTTTATTATACTCTCCATCAAGTGTATCAGTATAGTTCTACTTAAGAAGTGACAATAATCACGTGCTTATAATATAGTACATTTAAAACATAGTAACGAATTGTGGTAATGTGCTACTGGTGTTGTAATATGCTACTCGAATTTATAATTAAATGTCAATACTATAAAAGTATCTAATAGAGTAATATACTGGGGGCTTGTTCATTAATAATGTTGCATAATTTTATAAATTAGGCATTCCTACTTGAAATAAGATTACGCACAACGTAATTTAAGATGAACTCATAGCAAAAAATGAACTGATCTAGATTCTGTACCATTGAAATTCTTTGCGTTCGTTGATATTGAACAGCTTTATATACCAAATCCTTATCACCCCACGGATCTAAATTACCACTCTTGATATTATTGAAACAATCAAGTACCATATCTAACGTAATGAAACATCCAGTTCTACCACAGCCTGCCAGGCAATGAACTAAAGCCTGTTCATTTAAATTTTCAGCTTCGATTATTTTCTTCTTATAGTCTATTAATTTTGTAACAGATTCAAACGAGGAAGGTACACCAAAATCGGGCCAATCCTTATATTCTAAATGATAAATAGGTCTTGTCTTATCGTCCTTAGCAAGTGTTAATTTTCTGACGTTAAAGAAATCTTGCTCAATAAATTCGTTGTTTATAATTTTAATGCCAGATCTTTTAAATACTTGGTCATCAAAGTATTTCCTTTCTTGACCAACCATGTTTGCCGGCAACTGAACGTTAAGGCAAATTATTACGTTAATAGAATTAGACCATATAGTTTTCCAGAAATCTTCGTATGTAGCTTGTAATGGATTTTGTGTTGCAATGTATTTGAGATTTGATATTTTAGAGAAATTGATGTAATTGGCATTAAAGTAATCATCGTAATCATCTAGTTTCAAAGGGTTTGGCGATTTGATTAACTTAACACGGGAATGTTCATAAGGCCAAATATTGTTATACCTATTTTTGAAGCCATATTCAATCCCCTTTGGAATTTTGTAATAAGTATTATCACAACCAGGACATAATGCACTGGGAGAACAAATGTTGGGAACATGATTATCAGGACAGTGATTTGAAATTGCTGTCTTTAATCTAGCTTGCTCTGATTTTTCGATTTTGTTAAAATTGCAATTTATAGTTTTAAGTATTTCTATATTGTAATTGGGTGATGTTCTATTTGCAGCGAAGAATTTTAACCACCCTGGAAGCTTTTCAGATTCGTGTTGTGAAATATCGGGAATCCTGAAATTATAATGATAACTATCTAAGTTATCATTACAATCACTCCCGTTATCAAGATCATTCGAAGGGTCATTAGTGGTATTTATACTTAGTTTCGGTAAGTTATTCTTTTTGATGTTTGAAAGGAACTTTTGATTCGATGGAGTACATGAAGGTAATTGGAACCCTGACAAACAACTCAGTTGTTTGACAGTTGGAGATGAACTAGAAGAGGTTGATGAATTATTTTCCACGAAATTTGCCAGCTTGCTCACACTCGTGAAACCATTGTCCAAGAAGTAAATGTCAAAAACTTTTGACCCATTCTGATTATACTGACGAAACTTCATACATGTCGTATATAACAGAAAAGATGTGTGGTTATCACAACTATCAGTATCATACACCAATACCTTCATAGGTGCATCTAAATTATTAGTAGTAATCTTCAGTAAAGTCAAATCTTTAAGATCAGAAGGTATGCTAATGGAATTTAGTATTTGAGGAATGTTGAATGAGCTCCTCTTTAGAAGTGTTGTTGGCACACACATATTAATTGCTCCTTTGATTCTCGATACAGAAAACGTATTGAAAGGTCTAGTGTCAAAAATTATCAAAAACTCCTCCTTCAACAAAGTCTCTAACTGATCTAAATCCACTCGATGAATATCTTTAGGCAAATCCTCAAAATGCAGCTTATTTGTAGGAGAAATTGAAGCAATACCCGTTGGTTTACAGACAGATATCCACTGTGACTTATCGCTACCTTGTGGCATGTTAAATTGCAGAATCCCACCCATATTTTTCACATCTGCTTTCTCTTTATTTACAATATTTCCCCTGTTTTTTATGGAAGATGTATCTGTTATAATATTTATGCTTGACTTTTCATTCAGAAAATAGCATGGCTGGCTGGCGTTGGGACTGTTATCATTTGAATTGGATAAGTATGTGGTAGTCATAAGTACGTTTACGTTCCACTCAAACTCGCCTTCTATATTTATTATACCACTTACACACTATATTTTATATGATGTATTATGATATTTTTGAGAAGAAGTATTTGATATATATTCAATTATGCTGAATGTTGCAAGGTTTATGACCTTCTTTGGGGCGCTTCCAGAAAATCTGTAATGATGTCATAATCCGCGACATACAGAATTCTAGACTTCATATGGAATCTAAAATTTATTCTGTGCACTAATTTGCCTGCAATCAAACTATTTTGAAATGGAAATATAGTACATATAGCAATATTATATGGTAGATCATATATAACTATAACACTCCTAGGATAATAGTAATGTTAAGACTTGCGAATACAATTCAATCTATGCTACGGTTCGCTCGCTTCTCTTTTTGTCATTTTGAATACAAAGCAAGCGAAAATAATGTTATTGTTAGTTGAACCATCTCGTCTTGCGAAAAAGTTAAAGCAATTGATAAAAGTAGTTATAAAGAAAGGAGAAATTATTTATGCACTTGCACTGGCAAGCGCCTGGAGTAGTTCTATATATCCTATACCTTGTTCTACATATCTAAGAGATAAATACTCCATAGGTGCAGTTACGTAACAATCGATGGTTGGCTATTACATAATCCATCTATAAATAGAATTGAAATAATTGGTGTTTTTCCATACCAATTCGTCTATGAGATTTGTCGTACAGTGTTTTTATATACACGCTAGTGTTATGCAAGACGTCAATTAATCATTCAACAATTGAAGTATTTGGCTCTTAAAGTTAACTTCATTTTTGCATAGATTCTGTACCCTAATGATAAACATAACCATTTTGATTAGGATTCTAAATTTCGCTTTTGCATCACATGCTGAGAAGTTTGTGTGCTGAGTGAAATAGTTATCGCTTGGAGCTTGGGAGATAAGACGGATCGTGGTAGAGTCCAACAATGATTCGGTATCGTCCCGCGTAGAAGTCTCTTTCAGAATATTTGTTGTAAGAAGGCTTTTTATCAGGCGAAGTCGATCAATTTTCTCGTTAGCAGAATTATTTGATTTCTTGTACATAATAAGTTTTATTGTTAAATCTTTTATGGTTGTTTGACACTTCTTCACTTCCATATCATTGGCTTGGTTCTGTTCAAACAAAACTTTCTTCTGTTCTGATAATTCGTGTAATTTGGATTTAAGATTTAAGATTTCTTCATTTCTGCTTTGGCTCGAAGCCAGTTTTGAATCGATTTCAAATTTGCGAAGATTCTTGTTCTGTTCTCGTTCAATTTGTAATTGATGCTTGTATTCGTGACTGTGACCAACTAATTGACGATTCTCTTGTTGTAATGTTTTTACTTTGTTTTGTAATGATGATATCATTTCATCCTTTTCATTAAGCTTATTCAATAATAAATTTTCTTTCTTTTTTAACTCCAATTTGTCGTTTTGATCATTGAGTTGAATCTCCTTCAACTTTTCGCTAATATTAGAATCATTCTGTCTCATTGGTAGTTGATAATCAGTATTTTTAATCTCGTTTATGTTCTCTTTGAATTTGTTAAAATACTCTCTATGTGCCCGTTTAGTGGTCATAGATACATCATCATTTTTATATGCTTGATTAAGCAGGCCACGCTGGTCTTTAGTTGTTACTTTTATTCCTGGTTCATTCCTCCATTCTTGATTAGTTTTCATAGATGACTTAGTGGTATTCAACCGTTCTTCTGTAGATCTGCTTGGCACCATAACTTGCTTAAGTATATTTATTTCCGTATTATCTTCGTCGTTGATAAGATCTGTCAAATGGTTCCGGAGTACGATATTTTTCTTTTTTAGCTGTTCAATCGTATCATCATATCTACTCATTTTGCATAAATTGTTCAATGTCGATATTATAGATTTTGATACTTTGTACTCATTAGATTTTTTTTGTTTACATGCGCGTTGATCAAAACAAACATTAGAATATTTTATTATCACTAACACAACTTATCAACTACTATGGAAGTATGATTAAAAGAAAACCAATAGTAAGGAAACAACCACTCATAAACAAAATAAAATCATTCCCTTTCGATTTCTTCTTATGGATAAATGAGATAAGATTATCGATTGAATGGGATAACTATTGTGATTCGATTGCAACTCCTTTAAGTTGTTCTTTAACTTTAATATATTTGATTTTGATTAGAATCACCGTTTATTATGAATTATCCTACAATAAAAGAGAGAATCCTTTATTTCAAGCTGATTATTATAATTACGAAAAAATTCGGTCCAGGGCTATCAGTGGCGATCCAATCGAATTGAGTATTAATACTGAGGATTCCTGGTGGTATACTATTTTAAACTTTACTATAGCTTTCTTAGGCGTTGTATCATTAAGCAACTTTGTTTATGTTTTATTTTCATTTAAGTGTTATACACTATTATATTCTTCTATGGCGGAGAAGCCGAAGAGTTCATCAGCAAGAAGATTGGTCCTTAAGAATGATATTAATGATTCGATTTTTGAAAAACTTTACAAGTTTTTCTATAGCCACACTAATCAGGCCATAGAGCTTTGCTCAGATGATGAGAGCTTTTACGATGAAGACACCATAAATGAAATCAACTTGATAGAAAAGGATATTTGGGAGTTAAAGGTGTGGAACCCTTCGAAGTTCTCTCTTTTCGTATTAACCAACTTTTCTCCAATTTTATTATTCATAATTAGGTTAATATCTAAAGAATTGCCGATTTGGAAGATTTTATTCATTTCCATTATATTTAACGGTAATTTTTATTTCATTGTAACACAACGATTCCTTGTGTTACTTCAAGATAAGCAGATATTATACCAAGAGATGTTTCAAGAATATAACAATAAATTTGTAAAGCCAAAGACATCAGTCTTGAAAAGAGATGTGGTAATTGATGCTACATTTGGTCCTCGTGCTCCTTCTAATATGCTTGTACAATCAGAAGTAAAGCCTCATTTACAAAATACTAGACTGAAGGTATTCATTACCCATAATATTAATGGAGAACCATTCAATAATATCACGATAGAGAAAAATAAATCAATGTCTCCGGAAAGACAAGATCAATTTCCAAGATCTTTTAAATACCAACAAGTAAAAAATAGTTATCGCGATTCACCATCTATGTCACTAAATAGAAACGATTTATATCATCAGCTACGCCAACCCAATACAGATTTGACGTACGATGAATCGAGATATGAAAATGAAAAGATTGATCGGGAAAGAGAATTATTGAGAAGAAACTCTATCAGACAGACACCTATGAGCCTGGCACTTTTTGAAAAGTTTGAAGATTACAGTGATAATGAAGACAAACCATGGTACTCTATATCCACGCCATATTCTAGAAAAAAAACCAACATGGATCATTCATTTCATCAATCATCACCCATGCATGAGAGTACATTCACCAGAGGATTGCAATCACCCATTGGTAAATTAAAAAATAATATGTCACTAAATAGAAAAACCTTATCTCCATCGAGAAGTCTGTATGAAAGGTCTTTATCCCCTCAACGTAGGACTCCAGGAACAATAACTTGGGATTCCAGATCTCCAAGTCCTAAAAGACTATCGAGACCTTCAAGTCCATCTAAACCAAAGCCAAGATGGCATTAATCACTTCACTATACAAATAGATATATTCATTTATATATACTTACTATTTATAATTCGTTGAAACCAAAAAAGTATCTGAAAACTTTACCTACAAATCCTAAGTTCTCTTCTTTCTTCTTATCCGCTTCTGACTTCGTAGGATCTGTTGAATTTGGTTGTAAAAACAAGCCAGAACCGTCTCTAATATCTAATCTAGTAATATACGAACCTTGAATATCATTAGAATCTCCAGTTGTCCCATTATCGCCTTTCTTCGACTTATCAAAAGAGTTTAATTGATATTCAATTCCACCTCCGATATCTTCCCCTTTTTCTAACTTTCTCTTCTGTAATTTTTCTATAGCGTCCTTACTAAATGGTATGACTCCAAGCAAAACACCATTAAACACGCATCCATTTTCTTGCAACGCATCAATTGCTGATGATGGATTATCAAAAGTAATTTTTACCCATGATTTTCCACTTAGAATAGGAACAACTTGATGTTGTTTATTGGAACCTTTATTAGTTTGATAATGCTTTAATAATGTATTCTTTTGTTTAGTGATTTCAAATTCTTCCAAAATCGTTCCAAACTCCTGAAAATAAGAAATAACTTGATTAGCCATACTTTCGGGATACCCAAATATTAATATTGCAGACTCTCCATTCTGCAAAGGATTAGATTTGAGGCTTTCTTCATTCTTTTGCTCAGAACTATTATTCAACGTATCATCTCTATTAAATACGTTATTAAAATTTTTAGGGTCCTTATTAATAAATGCATCCGCATGCTGATTAGCTGGCTTATTGAGAGAAATTAGCACTTCGTCATTTAAGTCATAGATAGATCTTGACGGTGGTAAATCATCATCATTATTATACAAAGGAAAATCATCAGTTAATGTATCATTGAGTGTTTTCTCATACTTGCTTATATCTCCTACACTAGTATCATACAAGCTTCCAACACTATTATTTCGATCTATCGTCCCACTTGAAGTTAATGCTTTTCTTTGAGAAGTTCCAAATGATAATAAGTTAAACTGACTGGAATTATTAGATCGCAATGCATCTTTTTTATCATCTGTATCCTTCTTGGATGCCGAAGACGACAATATCTGAAACCCGGGCTTTCGTTTTGGTACCAAATGGTTAGGGATTGTTCTTTTTTTAGGGTTCTGAAACCATGCTGGTTGATTGTTGTTAATGTTGTTATTAGATGTTTGGTTACTTATACTAGAAAGGGGCTGGTTGAATAGATTCCCAGTAGTTCCACTTGAAGTACTGTTCTGTCCAAACAATGTCGACATCTCGTACGTAATTGATCAGTTTTGGTAATTAAGGTAAAGAGATCGTAACTTTAATCAAAATAGTTGTTATTCAAAATTCGATAAAAAAATTGTCGTGCGCACACGTCAATTATTTAATCATCGCTATTACATTTTTTTAAGGCAGTATAAATTTTGGATAGATAATATATTGAAGAAGCAAAATATGATATTATCACCTGCCGAAAGATCATACTTGTATGACTCTTTAACACAGACTACGCCTATTAGGCCAGATTCAAGATCGGATCATCAATTTCGTCCCTTAGAAGCCAAAACTTCATTTTTGCCTGCATCAAATGGGTCTGCAAGAATAAGATTAATGGATGGTAGTGAATGTATTGTGAGTGTTAAATCCAAAGTAGTATTAAGATCACAAGAAAATAATTTAATAGAATGTGATATAGATGTTGCAGGTCACAGAGATGATTCAAATTTCGTAACTAATTTAAGCTTCAACTTAACAAATTTGCTAAGTAAGAACTTTCCATTCCAATATTTAAGATTAACATCGAAGTACACCTTTAAGCTATTCATAGATTGCATTGTCATAAGTCATTCATCTTATCCTTTAAGTTTACTATCACTAACTTGCTATTTGGCTTTGAAGACAACCAAATTACCATTACTAGTCAGTGATGTGAATGATGAAGAGATCGAAGAACAACCGACCTTTTCAGACGATTGGGACAATGCCCAGTTATTATCGTCGATGATTAAAGATGAATCATTCAGTCCGCCTATATTCATTACTTTGGGTGTGATTGGTCTGAATTTAATTTTTGATCCGACGATAGAAGAAGAACAAGTACTTGAGAATGGTTTAATAATCAGTTGGCATAACAATAAGGTCATTGCTCCTATTAGTAATATGAATTTAGCGGCCAATTCTAATAATGCAAATTATAAGGGCTTGAATAATAAGATAATCATCAAGGGTATATCTATGGTCAATAAATATTGCGGTGCTGTTACACATGCCTTAGACACTTTAATAGAGCAGGATGACGGAAATGATGGAGCAATTTTTTAATTTATATGACGTATATATTGTATTATAGATTTAGATAAAAGTTTTACTTATTATTTACTGTATTTAGCAGTGCTGAGTTGAGTATGCATGCACTATAATTGCCGTTGCAGTTTGAATATTCATGGATCTGATAACTCCAACTTGTTTAATTTCAACACAAAAATCTAATTCAGCTAACAAGTCCCCAGGGACTCCTTCTTTCTCTCTGCCTAATAAAATTAAGGATTTTTTAGGAAACTTCAAATCGCTATTCAACTCAACAGACTTATCGGTCTGTTCCAACCCAATTAAAGTATAGCCTTCTTTTTTCTTTTCTTTCAAAAAAGATATAATTTCTGAAGGTTTAACCTCAAGCATAGGCATCCAGTAATCTGCTGTTACAGCAACATTCTTAAATTGAGGGTGATTTTTAACATTGATATCATTCAAGGTCAATAGACCAGCTCCTAGTACATCACATAACCTACAAATTCCACCCAAGTTTGGAGGTTTATCAACTAATGATGATACAACGATCAAGTCACTCCGAATAATATCAGCGCCGTTTGAAGTCGCATCGATATCCATTATCGTATTCCAAGCACCACTCTTGGTCTGTAATGGAGATTGTGATACAGATTGTGAAATATCCATTTTCGTTTGGACAGATTTCTTTGCCAACGATTTACGTTCTCTTATCCACAATTCTTGCATGTTTTCACCAACAGGGTGAGTCAAATGATCAATTTGTGCTTGCGATAAATGTTCTAAATAGTCTTCCTTGGTAATGAACTCAACATCACGATCGGTCAACCTCATCAAAAGTGCACCTGCAATGCTGACTAAATTCAAATCTTGCTTAATATCCCATAACAATGCATCACCACTTCTATATTGACCAAAAGATTCTGAATTTACTGCACTTTTATACATATTCTCAATCATAATCACCAACTCAGGCTCTATTGCCAATTTTTTGGATTGTATTTCTGGATAGATGGAGCATATTAATGAAACTGAGAAATGCCTAGTCATCGCCTTATTAGACGTGGCCCCTGGAACAATGACTGTTAAAAACTTGCCTAATGCTTTTGATTCTTTAGCGTGTGGTAATTGTTGGATCATTAAGAATAATATTCTTTCATAAGCAGTTACAACGGCTGGTTTTAAACCAGTTAAATCAATTAATGCTTTCAAGCGATCAAATAAAATCGTGGTAAGTTCATCACTTTTCAACAAATTAATGGCAACTATCCACTCGATATACGCTCTAACCAATGGGCTTGGTTCGGTCTCTATTAATTTGATGAAGGTTGGAACGTACTGAGATATAATTACCTCACTATCTATCTTATCTATGATAGATATTATGATTGTGAATAATTGAATTCTTCTCCATTCCTCAAATCCATCGGTATTTTTCACAACATTAAATAAATTGAACTCCTCTTCATTATCAATTATAAAGCGGAATATCTTATAACTATATTCAGATGATCTGATCGAATTAAAAATAGCCATGAGATTAATTTTAGCACTTATCTCCTCGGATCCATAAATATTGTTATAAATATTATTTTCCTTATTCAAAGAAATTTTTTCATCATAAAGCTTACCAATAACATTTTCCAATCTGAAAACGTTGCTCTTTAATTGAAAGACAGTAAAACTTCTCACCAAAAGTTCAGGGATCCAATCTATCTTCTCAAAGCTAGCAGACCCATATATCTGGTAGTTTGATAAGTTCTTCGTAAAAGATGGTAACAAGCACCTTCTTCCTTCAGCATTTTCGATTATTGATCTTCCGAAGACGAATAAACGTTTACTAATTGTTTCATTATTTATCGAAGCATTTATAATTTTTGGTTGTAATAATGTGTTAATTATTAATACATGTAAATCCTTTTGGTTTAATTGTAATCTAGAAGAATTCAAATTATCCCATATATCTCCCAAACTTTCAACTGTACTCATTATAATCTGGAGCGAAATGCATTCTTGCAAAAGAATATTTTTCAATAGCTTTACAAGTGAAATACTTGAGTGATAGTGCGTACAACTAGGGTTAATGACCTTTATTATATTATCAATTTCAATTTCAGTTGGGGTCTGCTTTTGTAGCGAATGTGATAAAATCCTATAATACTCACCAAATGCATCATCTATTACTTTATAGAAAGTCTTAAAATTCTTAGAGACTTCTTTAGAATTTATGAAAAGGAATTCGTTAAATTTAACCATAGGTTTGATATCAAAGATTTCATGATTTTCAATTTTGACTAAAGGAATAGCATCAAGAATATTGTTCAAAAATTTAAGTCTATTAACCAGTAGTGATAAAGTCAATCTATCGTCTGACTGTACTTCAGCATTTATAACAGCCCATAATTCAATTAAATTAATACCAGAAGGTAAAAAATGTCTATGGGAAGTGAAATCAATCTCTGATAAAGTTTCAAATAAATCAAAGTCTCCTTCACCCTTGAGCACCCTTGCAAAAAAGCTTTCAACAATTTTAGATCCATCCGTTGTTTGAAATACATCCAATTTAAAATTGGAACGGAGTACTTTTGCTAAAATCAAATCTGACTTATTTAAAACTTCAAGAACTTCATCAGTTTTATCTGAAAAGAAAGAATTGGATAGTCCAACAATCAATGCTTTCAAATCCGAAGAATACATCTCTTCTTCTTTTAAACACACCATTAATTTTTCATAAGAAACATTATTGCTTTCCAAATAATTCACAATTAATGACAAATTTTCATCGACTATCTTGAACCCATTGAATTTGATAAATTTGTCTAATAATTTGATAAAATTATTCAAACTAGTTAATCTAAAATTTAGTACTAGTCTCAAATTCATCGTTTGATTAGCGCATTCAAATAAGTCACCCTCTGAATTACTTTCAAATAATCTCAATAAAAATGCATCATGTCTGCTAAACGACAAAACTTGTTTTTTATCTAAACCACGAAGTAAACCTAATGTTACGTATACTCTGGCTGGATCAAATGCATCCTTCAATTTATCTAAAACCTTTAAAATGGAAAATGCAACGTCTTCAAAATCAGCTTCAGTTTTTAAATTATTCAACAAACTAGCAACAAACTCGCATAATCGTTCACCATATTCACATTGACATTCATTTACACCGTTCATCAGTTTTACTGAAAAGTGAGGGGCCAACATGGCATATGGCAAATAGACTCCTTCCAAGTATTCTAATCCATACTTGATTAAATATAAATTTTCCAATGGAATGGATAAGAGGAGACTCAAGGAAAACTTTCTAACGGAGTCCATGGACGCCTTAAATCCAGTAGACAACAAACAGAAGCCCCAAGAAGGATGAATTAAAGATGTAGGAGAAATCAAACCTACAATATCATTGACCCCAGCTTCTGCTTGATGCAAAGAGGTATCAACACCCAATATTTCAAACAAAGTAATGTATCTTGCCCATTCTTTTAAATGTTGATCTCTTAAGGTAGAATCCCATGTCAAAATTTCATTCTTAAACGAAGATTTAATTGATTTAACAGATAGTTGCAAGAGTGATAAACAAAACTTTCTATGGTCATGGGAATTACTATTAAGACCATTCTGAATAATTTTCCAGTATTTTTCGCTATTTAATATTTTTCTCTGATATATGTCACTATTCGTTATCAAATTACTGTTAGAGCTATTCAAATACCGTAACCAGAATACGAATGCATTACTCCTATGTATCTTATTGTCAGTTTTCTCCAAAGCATACAATATGTCCCAAACGAATGTAGTATCTTTGCTCATAATTACGATTGATTCAACTCTCCAACGAAGTAATTTTGAAGCTACTGCTGCAATACTTTCATCAGCAACACCAATAAAATAACATAATATAGGATCAATTTCAGATTTACCTTGTATTTCACCATTCAGACGAACGAAAACATACTCTAAAAATTGGAATAGAGACAAAATATACTCATTGTCTAAAGCCTGACCTTCCAGAGTAGTATTTGGTTTCAACGAACGAACCCCATATTCATCACTTCGAGAAATTATATCTCTAATTTCTGGCAAAAAATTAAGTGGGGAATCACTTATGTACAATTCAAAGTGTGTGATAATCTTTTGCAAAAGACTTTTGTACAATTGAGGTAATTTTTTCATCAACATCAAAATATCACTATAATTATCATCTGTGTGTTTGTCCTTATTATCTAATATCAAGTTAGCAAACTCTAATATCCTAGGATAAATCAGTTCTTTAGATTCTGTATCTATGACATCAAGCAATTCACATAATGCGACTAGGCTGTCGGCATTTTTACCAAGATCATCTGTTAATTTCAATGCCAATTCAGATTTCTTTGATGCATCCAAATATTTGGCAACCAAAGATAATGAACTAGACATTCTTACTCCATTAACCCAAGTCAAATATTCGTATAGTTATCAACTTCTCAATAAAATTTTTTTGCATCATCTCTATTCGTTCACGTGAGCTTAACTATTTAAGATAAGTTTCAAGCTACAGCGTTCATTTCAGATAACAGTATAGTAGTGATATTTGCAGCACAGCTTATCATGACTAGCAGATATTAATCCGCTCCTTACATATATTTCTTTATTACGGTGTTCTATATTTCTATATTTTTGTATTTCTATACAAAAACATTATTGTGGGTTCCGATAATCTTTCAAAATTAGATGCAATCGTGCTAACCGGATCGTCGATATGTGCTTTAAGACAATATTAAGACCTCGGATAGAGTCTGGGCTGATAAGCTCGCTGAGATATACTAAAAAAAGTGTTTTATCCGGGGCCATTTTTAATTTCCCCTTTATTATAGGATTTCCAGACCCGCGCGGGATTGTTATCGCGGAGAGAATCTGTTCTGTTGATAGTATATAAGAAAGGCGTATCTCATTTGAAGAGTATGCTGTACCCCGAAATGATATGGAATATTTTCAAGAATATTTGCCTGTTGAGTTAGCGGATAAGCTCCCGTTGATAGTATCAATAGGAGCTATTGTATTTTACACTTTATTCAAGTATAACAAATCAAAATTCAAAACTTCAATCGTTAAAAATGCGGATAAGACCCCCGAAACATACGTGAAGCCTAATATTGAACCAGTGTCTACAGATTTCGAATGGGATAAGGTAACTCCTTTGAAATCATTTCCGTTCAAAAACGGAGAATACAAGTTGACCATGGGTATTAGAAAGTTGGACCCTCAGGACTGGCTTTTAATTGAGCCGACATATCTCAACAGGATTGAAAATAAAGCTAAAATAGTATCAAATACTCATCCAGATTATCCTCCTGACAAAGATTTGGCTTCAAATACAGTCCTTATTACTGATGAGGCTATCCCTGCCATTAGGGAATTTTATGATATTGTGATTGATTATATGTGCGTCAAATATCCCGTGTATTTTAAAGGTGCAAAAAACGGCAAAGTATTCAATTCCATAACTGGAAATTACCTACCTGCTCGTGCAGCTGACGAGGCCAACCCTCGGGAGTTATTGATAATCTTGGCCAATAATATAGAAGAGGATTTTCTCATATTGCTAAAGGATCCTTCGAGAGAAGATGAAAAGGATGGAACGGAATACTTTTTCAAGGCCGGTATATTTGCTTTTGCAGCTGGATTCAATCCCAAAGATCGGTTCAACAAACCATTATCCTTTGTACACCATCCTGTACCTGGATACGAAACAAAGTTGAAGCTTTCCATGAACAGATTTTTTAACAGAATTGAGCCAGGTCAATTTGTGACTCGAAGCAATTTTTCGGTCCAAACTCATCATAAACTTTACGTAGATGACCAAAACAAAGGACACCACTTGCGTGAAGGTGAAAAGCAAGTAGCTATCGACGCCGCTACTTTAGATTTTGAGAAGCAGGTTCATTATCGTAGCGAGCGACAAGCGTTAACAAAGTTGCCAAAGTCAAAAGCGGTAGTTTTCACAATTAGGACATACCTATTGCCCATGAGTGAAATCAAAAAAGATGATAGGGAGGTTCGGGAGAGATTAATTGGTGCTATCAAAGGGCTTCCCGAAGAGACCTCGTTGTACAAACGAGCTGCTGAATGGGGTCCTGCTGTCGTAGAATACTTACTGGATCAAAATAAGTAAATATAATATTCATGACTATTTATAGAGTTGAATAAACTTAGACTATCAATTTAAGCGAATAAGTCAAAGATAAAGCAGAAGTTATAACTTCTCTACTTCATCTTTTATCTCTTCCCATATATCAATATTTTTCTTTGCCCATTCAACAAGAAAGCCATTATAGCATAACAATATCTCATAAATTATCTTTAATTGTTTAGTATGGAACAGTTTAAAGTTCTTGTTTATTTCATCGGTGATATATGAGATATCCTGGAGCATAATACCTTGGCACTTCTCTAACAATCCTATTTTTCCTTGTAGAGAAGTTATTTTTTGTTTCCTAGTTTGCTCAGGATTCTGGTCTATTATATCAGTGACATATTGAGTAATCTTTTTAAACGAATTCATATTAGGTAGATACTTATATTTGTTGTTAGCAGATTTTATGCTTTGCAGGTTTGCATCCAGGGTTGCATTAGAGCTTCTCGAATTAAAACCTGAATTCTTAGGCACATGCATCACACTTTCAATTCTTGATGACTCTTCCTCCGCTTTCAATAATTCTTCTAATTCGTGCTTCTTTTCTTTTACATCATCCTCTAACAATCGCTTCTGACGAACCTTACGTCTCTCGAACTTTTCAATAAATTGTAATATAGTCGAGTACTGAACCGCCTCTCCCAATGGCTCTGAAAACTTGGTTTCGAGATCTGCAATTAATGTACTTATAGTTATGTAGGAACGATCAAATATTTGTCCTATTTTATCAAATATTATATTTAATTTAGAATCTTCTTCTTGGTTATTTTTTGCTTTTGCAGATCGAATCATGGGAGAATCAGATAATATTAATGAAAAGGAATTAAAAATTGTTCCTAATTCAGTATAATCATTTGCTAGTCCTATGAAGTTGGCCATAATCTTCTTATTGATGTCATCTAGGCATGAATTGTCTATAATATACTTATTCTTTAGATGATCAGGATTATTATTTACTGGACTTATAGTTCCTGTACTTGGTTGTGATGATGCTTCTGTATTTCCATTGTTCAATATTTTGTTGGTTTTCTTCGTTAGCTTTTTCTTATTTTCTTGTAAAGGTTTCCAAAATGACATATTTATTGAATGGTTACCAACTGGATTAGGCAAATTAGCATAAATGGAGTCTGTTTTCAAACCATTTTCCGGATTCAGCAAGTAAATAGATTTAGGCAATTGACTGGAAATTAAAGTTATTTCATCTGTCCAGTTTGCATTAGGATCCAAAAATTTAGCAAAAAATTCTAAATTCCTTATCTGAGGAATTGCTAAACAATTATTGAGAAAATTAGAAAGAAGCCTCTTCCTGTGCTCAATAAGCTTATTCTTATTCAAATGCGTCGAATTAATATAGGAATAATTAGTCGAGTTTGACCCCAATCCATTCGTAGTATTTGTCGAAGTATTTGCACCTGTACTGTTATTGCTGCTATTGTTAGACGATTGCAGTATGTTTCCGCTAACCAAATCATTGAGCATTGAAAACTTGAAGTAATTTTTAGGGGGGATAGGAGGAATAATAATCAATGGAAATATCTTCTTAAGTACGTCTCGTAAGCTTTCGAAGTCGCTGTATCTTCTTCGAGTTTGTATTTCATCACTAGGGTCATCATTGTTAATTAGCTGTATGCTATAAACGATATACGTTTTCAGCGTGTTTATCATACCCTCATTAGAATTTCCTGCTTTCGTTATTTGCATCCTCACATTACTATTAGGTCTCAATAGCCTGGTTACTCTACTTTCATAATTGATTTGAATTGATTTGAAAGTATCTTTATTCAAGCCAGACTTAAAATCATTTTGATTATTAGAATTATAAAGTAGTATTGAATCATCATCTTCATCACCATTATTACCATTATTGTCCTTGTCTCCTTTATCTTGTATATTACTTCCATTAGAAATCCCATGTTCACTCATTAGACTTGCGAGTCCTTGCATGTGTGGGAATGGGTTGTTATCTTCCTCATCATCAAATGAAGGCGTAGAAGAACCCACTTTATTCTCCTTTCCTTTAGACATATTATATTTAATTGTACGCTATACAAATATGTATATATGCTTTTCAATTACTTTTTAGGAACTACTAAGTTTGTCCCCATGTTTGCCGTCATTACTAGGACTGATAGCGATAGACATGCTACTACCTGTACATTGCGCATATTAGCGACATTTATTTAATGTCGCAAAAATAATGAAAAAAATTAAAAACATAGTATAAATCTTAAAACTTGTTTACATAAATAAATATATTGAATAGTTGAATATGGTAACTTCAATGGTGGTTCAGGATGAGGAAGTGGCTAACAATCCTGAGACACAATTTGCGAATGTATTACAAGGATATCAATTAAATAACCAAAAGGATATCTTTGAAATAATTGGCAATTTTAAATCTATCTGTGCATTAAATGCTTTGCTGGTTGGTGAAAAACTTAGTGAAGAAGAGCCAAATAGTGAGCTTCAAGAAGAATTTGAGAATTGGGATTTGGAAACGAAATTATGGCACTTAGTTGAGAGCTTGTACTCATTCAGACTCAGCATTTCGGAAGAGCCATATAAAGAATATCCATTTTCTTCGCTATCAGTTAAACAAGAGAACTTTTTGAGAAAGAATCCTAAAGTTAGGGAGATATCTCTCATGATTCATTGGTTACAGACTAATTCAAAGTCTATAGATTTTGATGATTCGGATGTTTCTAGTGGAAAATGGCAAAATACAAGACAAGCAATTCAAAACAAAGATCTCGAAGTTTTAACACATAATGGAAAACAATCAGATAATATTGTGGATTATTTGGATTCAGATTCTCCACTAAGGTCGGGAAAGAGAATTCTTCCAGTTGACAATGATACCGACTCAAGATCATTTTATTTGATATATAAGTTGGTTCTTGCCAACAGAATTCAGGAAGCCATAGATTATGCTAACCTTACAGGAAACTTCACTCTAGCATTGATTTTAATTGGTGCTATTCAAGATTACGTTGATCCTGTTATTGACCAAGAATTTATAAACCCCCCTCTGAATTCCGATAATATGTTCTTGGATAGTCTAAATAACGGAAAGTCAGAAGATGATTCACCATTCGTCTCTAAGCCTTCAGGTATTAGACACAAGCTATTGTGGAAGAAAACAGTCTATAAGTTATCTCAACAACCTAACTTAAATCGTAATGAAAAGTTAATTTATAATTATTTGAGTGGTGGAAATATAGCATTAAATTTGGAAGATTCTTCAGATAATTGGGAAGAATACCTTTTACTATACTTGAATCAGTTGTATATACATAATTTGGAATCTTTCGTAGTTTCCAGCTTGCCAAAAAACCTACTTGAAGATGAGACTTTATCCCTTGCTGTTCCTAAACCTCAATTTTCAAGTGTCGACGATATTTTGAATGCATTACTGAAATCTGAAAATGAAGTTGCAGAAAAAAGTACACATCCTCTTCGAATAATAATGGGTGGAATAATGATTAATCAAGTGTCTACATTGATACATAACATTATTCGCTCATTGAGCAATGCAAGCAAGGATAGTGATTCTGACTCAATAATATCTAAAAGTCATCTTCTTAGGGTTGTAACACACTTAGCAATCTTTGAATTAATTGCTGAAGAAAGAAATAACGTTAATGTCAAAGATATTACAAAGGTCATGACACTTTATGTATCCAAGTTATCAGAGATGAAGTTGGCGGAATTGATTCCAATTTATTTGTCATTTATCTCTGATGAAAAAGATGCAAGGGAGTGCTACTCCTTGTTTTTGTCTTCAATCACAGATACCGAAGAACGTTCGAAACAGATCGCAATTGCCAAAAAATTTAGTAATATCACAACCCCCATTGGAGAAGACTTGCTGGTTCATTCGGACACTGGATATAATGAAGATAAAATGTTCAACATTTTAAGAAGAACTGTGGAAAGAGTGATGATAGAAACTGAGCCTCATTATAAGCAATCTTCTAATGTCATAGTACACGATGATATATCCAAGGTGGATGATGCCGATTACAAATTATACCGTTCTGTTGAATGGTTTTTTGAAAACTCTATGCATGAGGATGCAATTTCAGCATCCATTACTATCATGCGTAGGTTTTTATTGTGCGGCAAAGTATCTTCTTTAAAACAATTTGGAAAAGATAAGAATTTCAAACAATTAATCAAAGAGTACGATCTCGAAGCGCACATAAATTCAATCAGTTCTCCTAATGTATCATTTATTGTTAGTGAAGATGACAAGGAAGAGCTTTTAAATTATGAATCATTGATTCTGGGTCTATTATTGATAGATGATTGGAAACAATTCTTGAAGGATAATAAGATAAATGGTGTGTTATCGAAAATAACTCCAAATTCGTTTTGGAAATCCAATCATATAAACAACTCCATTGAAAAAGTCACTAATACATTAACAAAATTAATATTCCAGTGGCTTTCTGATTTAATAGCATCTGCCTCAAAAGGTAGAGAATTATTTAAAGAGTTGCGAATTATATATGTACCATACTTGATTATGGAATTGTTGCAAATTTATCAGTATTCAAGATTAAATAATTGGTCGTACATGCGCAGGGCTTTGAAATTAGTTACAGAAGTTGCTAATGAAGACGAAAATGATTTCTTGAATTGTTTTGTTAGTTGCGGAAGATTGGATGAATTTCTTGTTAGATGCGGAGAAATTTCTGTCATTGCAAGTGAAAGAGGTATAAAAGGAATATTTCATTAGCTTTATTACATTTAAAAAACTATGAGAATAAAATATATAATCTAATTCTTATTTAGGTCATTATATCCAACTAGATTTTACTATATAAACAGTCTAATTCAATGAAGAAGCCTTTTCATACAATAAATCAACAATGTTAGACAAATTGTTTACTAGACCAAATGAAGCTTCATATGTCGCATCTTTTCTTGGTTCATCATATATAATTAACCAACCATTTCCTTGGTCTAAGACACCATAAAAAACTTTATCCAAAATCATCTGAGATAATTTACCTTCAACTTGTTGTAAATTTAAGCCAATTGTTTGGGAAATATGAGATAATTCAACACAACTATACGATTCGATTATCTTCAACAAGTTTTGCTCTAATAAATTATCATATAAAGCATTGAAATTACTTTTAATAATTGGATCAGACCTTAATTCTTGCGAGTATGTAGAAAGGGATGATTCAAAATCCTTCAAGGATCTATTAGAATAAGCAGTAGCAATGGACTTCATTGCATCAATATCTCTTGATTGATATTTGACAACATTCTTATTACCTAAAATTGTGTTAACATCGTCGATAAGATTTAACATAATCTTGGTTAATAACATGTATTTTAATATAACAATTGCCCTATCATCATCTTGAGAGTTGAAGCCTTCAAACGCTTCGTAAAAATATGAAAATGCAGTTTTATAATCTTTATCCTCTGAATTCAAAATACCACTTTGGCAATCCAATTCTGCTTGCAATAATGTTGGGCAATATATCGAATTAGCTGATGTTCTTGCACTTGTTAACGCAGCCTTTGCCTTTGGAATATTTCTTAAAGCGTGGAACAATTTGGATTCCAATAATTGAACCTCGACTAAAGACGACTTATCATCCAATTTCTTATATTCTCGCAACAAATCCGTTATAATTCTCAATGCGTCTTGGTATGATCCCTTTTGATATAACAACGCAGATAATTTCAATTGTAACGATTGTCTTAAAAATGATAACTTATTTTCGATTGACCATTCAATACTGTCTTTAGTTGCTTGTATCTGTAACTCAAGAGCATCAGAAATATTATCAAAGTACTCGATAAGTGTTTTGACGATCTTAGCTGTCTTTGACTTGGCAAAATTCCCCAATACAGCTCTTGAATACGCAAGAAGTTCGTTTAACTTATCGGGTTGTTTTTCATTTTGATATATCTTCCCTAATTCTAATATAGCAGCTTCCTGATCTTGTAAAACCTTAGAAGTTGGTTGTCCAGAATTCTCTTTTGATAAAATTATCTCTTGATATTTTGATTCGGCTTCTTTGAATTTACCACTAGATGACGCCGCTCTAGCCTGTTCTAATAATGTGGAAGTGTCTGCCATGATACAAATATTGATTGCAATTGAATAGATCTGTTTATCATATGTCTTTAAGTATGTTTGCCTTCAGATTTTCAATCATAACCAATCCTCGGTTACCCGGAATTATAAAAATGTTCATATATTTTAGGAGGTTGAACCTCAGAATAGATCATCTTGCATTGAGAGTGTAGGGATAAAATGCTAAGCTCTAAGGTGCCCAGGCAGCTTGTAAGACGGAATCTTTTGAAAAATATTGGTATTGGCCCAAATTTTTCAAGATCAATCCAAAATCCTGTCTTTTTGAGATATTACTCTAATAAATCACCATTTCCATTAAATCCTAAAGAACTACAAGAAAAGAAAAACTTAGAGAAGCTTCCTAAATGGCGTCAATGGGGTATATATTTCCAATCCAAAGAGTTTAAGAAAGGGATGACTGTGTACTATATTTCTGCGTTCGTGATTTTTATGGCTTGTTTTTACTACTATATGCGGGATAGATATTATGAAGATATACAAATGAAGCATATAAGAAAAAAATATACTGAAGATCCATCAAGTTTATCAGAATATGAGTATTTGAAATTGAAGGCACTCAGTAATGATAAGTTGAAACCAAGAGAAGAGAAAAAATTTCGTATATATCAAATGATGAGAAAGGAATACAGAAGAAAGAATTTGTTTGACAAGGATTCTATGTTTGAGCCCACTCCTGAAGATTTAGAAGAGTGGTATAGCAAACAAGCTGTCAGGAGCGTCAAAAAAATTCCAACTATTGAAAAAGAGGGCGAAAATGAAATGAATGAACCTGAACCATATAAGAATTTCAATAACCCAAACATTGTCCCTGGTCAAAATACGACTGAATTCTTTGAACAAATTGCCAAGGAATATGATGATCAAATAAAATGGGAAGAAAGGGGGATGTTTTTGGGTAAGCGTCGTAGATGGTTAATGAAGCAATTGAGGGGTGATGTGTTGGAAGTTGCCTGTGGAACTGGTAGAAATATACCTTATTTGTATCCTGAAAATATTGACTCAATAACATTCTTAGATTCCTCTCAAGAAATGGTGAACATAACACAAAAAAAGTTCAGGAAGAGCTACCCAAAATACCAAAAGGCAGCATTCACAGTCGGAAAAGCTGAAGATTTAGTTGAACTTGCAGGTGGAGATAAGCCCGTTCAGTACGATACAATTGTAGAAGCATTTGGCTTGTGTGCGCATGAAGATCCAGCCAAAGCATTGAAGAATATGTCGAAATTATTAAGGCCAGGAGGGAGAATAGTTTTACTTGAACATGGTAGAAGTAATTGGGATTTCATTAATAACCATTTAGATTTTAGGTCTGATAAAAGGATGAAAACATGGGCCTGTAGATGGAATTTAGACATTGGGGAATTAATTGATGATGCCGGTTTGGATATTACTTACGAAAAGAGGGTTCATTTAGGTTCCACTTGGTTATTGGTTTGTAAAAGACCGGAGGATCCAATTAAAATTGAAGAAAAACCATTTTTGAATAAATTATTTGGTACTGAAGTAACTCCAATTAAAAAGAAATAAACATTGTAAATAAATTGTATATATAATAATTACTAAATTAAAGATAGACGCCATTTTCTTCATCCCCTGACTCTAAGGTTACTAATCCTCGTCTTTTCAATTCTTCATCCAACGCAACCAACCGCAGATTCTGGTTTTCAATTACTGTTTTATTTTCTTCAATAGATTCACCATATAATTCTAAATCGCTTTTCAATTGGCTATGACTTTCGTTTGTTTCCAAATTAGAAATTTCCTCTTTGGTAGATACTATTTCATTTTTTAGTATATCATTAGTGTCTTTCAACTTAGAAATGGAATTTATTAACTGATTTTTTATTGAATGAAGATTTTCATCAGATAAATCTCTTATTGCTATCTGGAAATCGTTTATATTTATTGGTTTGGTTTCAGCTGACATTATTATTAGCGGGCGAATAAATAACTGGTTTATTGAAGTTTTGCTGCTGATTTCATTTTTTGTAGCACGCATGAAATCGAAAATTTTATCTAGAAGTAAATTTTGCAAGACTAAAACTATCTCGGGACATTTTTTGAAGACAACATGTTGAAGACTTTGATTTGGAAGTCATGTACAAATCGTGCTCGAATTACAAGGGTGTCAAAAATTAAGAGAATATTTAGGTACTATTCAACTCCATCCAGTAATACGATAAGTATAGATGATTTACCCCAAATACATCCATTGCTTTTGAAAAGAGCCGAATCAATGAAGGATGAATTCAAAGTGCTAGAAGCTAAAATATCTGAAGGTTCCTTCGACCAAGAAACCAATGTTAAGTTTTCGAATATTTCAGTGATCTTAGATAATTATCATAAATATCAACAAGAAATTGAAAATCTTAAATCTTTGTTAGAAATCTTGCATGAGGAGGAAGATGCCGAGATGGTTCACGAAGCATCGAATGAATTAAAGGATGTGATCCCTAAAATATTCAATTTTACAAAGTTATTACAAAGCAGACTTTTACCACCAGTCACGCACAGTGACAGACCTGCCATGTTGGAGTTAAGACCTGGTGTTGGAGGATCTGAAGCTGCGTTGTTCACTGGTGATCTATTAAATATGTATATTAATTTTGCCAATAATATGAAATGGAAATGGTCTATGATACTGGAAAGTCATGGTAATAATGGTAGTATAAATGAAGCGATAATAAGTATCGACAATCCAGGTGCATATAACGTATTGAGACACGAAAGTGGTGTTCATAGAGTACAAAGAATCCCCAGTACTGAAACAAAAGGAAGAATACATACCTCAACTGCAGCTGTGGTGGTGTTGCCTAAGATGTCCGATGGTAATGAATCTTCCTTGAAGGAAGATGAACGTCAATTTCAACCTGGTGAGGTTAGAATCGACACAATGAGAGCAGGTGGAAAAGGTGGCCAGCATGTCAACACCACTGACTCTGCGGTTCGTCTTACACATATTCCAACGGGAATTCAAGTTCAACAACAAGATGAAAGATCTCAACCTAAAAATAAGGCTAAAGCATTTTCTATCTTAAGAGCAAGATTGGCTGCGCTAGAAAGAGATAAAGAAATAGCAGAACAAAGAAAGTTAAGGACAGATCAGGTCACAACAACTGATAGATCCGACAAAATCAGAACATATAACTACCCTCAAAATAGAGTCACTGACCACAGATGCGGCTTCTCGTTATATGATATTGCTGGTTGTATGGGGGGATATAGACTTAACGAAATTGTTGAAAACGTTGAGCAACATGAATTTGAAGAAAGACTCGAGGATTTAATTGCAAAAAGTAAATCTTAACCTTGTAAATAGTTCATGACTTTCGAAAACAAAAGATAAATTTGAGGCTCACTACTTAACTATTGTAAAACGTGGAATATATTAATCCATACACCACTGTTTACGATAAAATTAAAACCTAGAGAGAATATTTAGATCCTTGATGCATCATTGAATATACGCACAACTTCTAATTGTAATAAATTTCGCATTCTTAGAATAGTCCCAATTCTTACAACACGAGTTTTTAGCGTGTTTTATTTACCCTCAATTTTCTCGAAAGCACAAAACCTTGAAGGAAAAAAATAGTGCTGTGCTTACTTCAGGGTTTTCATCTTTAGCATTATCTCATATCAATCAACGGTAGAATAGTTGCTTTATTTCTTTGTCGTTTTCATATGTTGGTTAATAAACCTATAAACGCTCGCTATTAAAACGTTAATTCTTGTACAAAGACGATAAAAACTAACATTAGCATGAATGGTCTATTTAAGGTCTTGTTGACAGCATGGGTAACAAATATGTTAATGATCCAAGCCTATGGGTTAGGACTCATAGTTACTCCACAGCTGATGGGCGACAAGAAGAAATATTCGAGCATTAATAATTTACTAAACTGTGTGAGTTATCCAACGGTGAAAGATGATATAATAATATTAACAGTCAACAGTGGGGAGAAATTACCATCTCAAGTATTGAATATGAATATTTTTGATTCAGAGAATAATAAGATCAGATACAAGGGAGATATATCAGACGAATTAAATTTGATATTTACCAATTTAAATAACCCTCTGAAGATTAACCACAATAACGATCATACTCCCGATAAACGTAATATACTAAACAAGCTTCATATAGGGCGAAATAGTAAAGAACAAGAGAGGATTGATGAGCTTATGAACAGCGATACTGGAAAATCTTTGATTTACATCTGTTTTGATAATTTGTACCTGGATAAGTCGTGGTCATTTCAACCACAGGATAGGGAAGTTGAACTTTTTGTCGATATAAAGAACATGACTACTATAAAACAAACTAATTATAACATTTATGCGCAGTATTTCAAGAAATTTAAGTATAATTCTGACAAAGATGTTGAAGCCAAAAATAATGAAAAGAAAACCAAAGATAAAGATAAAGACGAAACTTCGAAAAAGGACTTTACGCAAGTAGACTTTGAAAACAATATCAAGTTTTTAGAATCAGAATTAAGTGATATTGTGGAAAACTTAAAAAATTCAGAATTGATATTAAAAAACTTAATGGAGCAAGAATCTAAATTAAGAGATGCAAATGAAAAAATATATTCTGAGTACACAAAAGTCTCGATCATCATGATAGTGATTATAAGTATATTTGGTATGGCACAATTGGTCTATTTCAGATGTTATCTAAAAAAGAGAAAATTTTTATAGCTTGATAGTCTTGCATTCGTTTTTTTCTACTTAAAAGAATCTAATTTTATTATAACTTTTATACAGTCATCTAATTAATTAATTAACCAATATGCATCAAGTGCCTCTCATTTTTTCATTGTTTATTACATCTTGGCATATTCCTGCCATTGCATCTTTGTCTATCAACTTTCCAACATTTGCATATGCCAAACTTGCTTCATAGCCCATCGTAATTCTTTGCTCTGTTATTCCAAGCTCACCATAACTCAAAGCCTTTATAACATTATAATATCTAGTGATATTGCTACGTATCGAATTGGAAATGTTTGGATCGTTTTTATCAGAATAAATTTCCCAAGAACTTTCTTCTTCTAGTCTTGTAATTGAGACAGATCCTTGGCCTGGATTATAAGAACCTTGAGAATCAATAGATGCTTGCGCTTTATTAGAACTAGCGTTGACGTTACCCTTACTGCTACTGGAAGTTTTACTCAACCATATATATCCATTAACTCCCAATATCACACTTATATTTCCTGGTAACTTATGCGAATGATTCTTTGATTTAATAATTAAATTTGAAGGAACTTTTACGAAAATCCCATTTCTTAATTTTCCATACTTCAAAGATCTAGTATGTAATGAAGCACTGCCGTTACTAAATATACTTTGCACTTCAGCATTTAATAAATCACCCTCTTTTAAAAAACCTCTCATTTGTAATTCATCACTTTCAGATTTTCTTCTCAACACACCACCTGGCAAATTAACTGAACCCAACATTAATATAGCGCTTTGCTTTGCTCCAATGTCAACTTTCCACCTCTTAGGACCAACTTCAGTAATTCTTCCAACTATATGATCACCAGTTTCTGCCTGGTACCTACCCCTCAAGGGAACAACACTTAATAATCTATTAACTCTAGAAACGTTACCTGCAACTGATGAATATGTTTTATCGTTTAAAAAGTATGTACCATGACCTTTCATCCAAACTGGATCATCAGTCACTAGCTCACCTGGCGTTACAATAGATTGCTCATTTTTACTTGTTTCCTCCCCATCAGACATTTCAACATCTGAGTCAATGCCAATATCATGAGACTCTGGTTTGGTGATACTTATAACATCTGTAACATCCATCTCTAATACTATTATATATTGTTGTATTAGATTTTTATTCTCTTGTTTAATTCTTTAATCTCATCGATATTCGAAAATTATTGTGAATGTGAAGCCCTGGCGCGCACTGACATAGATTTTTTTTGAATTGAAAATTGTTAAGTTAGCTATAAACACAAGCCCTTTGGATCGTAGAAAAGTGAATGATTAGAAACCTTATTGGTAATTTTTATTTATTCGTGACACCCAAGTTAATTCGTCATACAAGAAATTTTCATAGAATAAATAAAACGGATAGAAGAGAGTTTATGATGAGCAAGTTTGGCCCACCAATAGATAGATCAATGAAAGTCTTAGATCGTTCTTTCTTTCAAAAGGACGTGAAATTACTAGTTGCATCCTTCCCTGATCCTAAGTACCTTGGCCAATTTGTTAAAGCCTGTAAGCCAGATATTTTGTATTTACCATCAATTAAGCACATCGTACCAGTTAATGGAAATTCGAAGGGAGTATTATTGAGAGAAGATATAGAAGATATAAACGATTATGAGCTGAAGTTGTCGTCGACAACTCTTGAAAAAATAAAAGAATACAATATCAATATCCAGCCATATGTCTTACATTTAGATTACAAGTTCTGGAAAACCGATGATATTTTGAGAGCTGTTTTGCCAGAAGATTTAATTACTGAAATTCCAACTGGGTTTGCACAAGCAGGACATGTTGCTCACTTGAATTTGAGAAATGAATTTAAACCCTACGGAAGTTTAATCGGGCAAGTGATATTAGATAAAAATTCCAAAGTTGAAACAGTCGTCGATAAGGTAGATACCATTGATACTAAATTTAGAACCTTTAAGATGAATGTTTTGGCTGGAAAGGATGATTTACAAGTTGAACAAAGTGAAAGTGGTTGTCGTTTTAGATTTGATTTTAGTAAAGTATACTGGAACTCGAGATTGAATACGGAACACGAAAGACTAATTGATCAGTTCGAACCCAAAGATGTAGTCGGTGATGTCTTTGCAGGCGTCGGTCCTTTTGCGGTGCCGGCTGGTAAGAAGGACGTACTCGTCTTGGCTAATGACTTGAATCCAGAATCGTTCAAATACTTAAAGGAAAATATAACCTTGAATCATACAGATTCTTTCGTCAAAGCGTTTAATCTTGATGGTCGTGAATTTATTAGAAACTCGCCAAAATTATTATTGGATTGGGCTAATCAACTGAAGACAGTAGAAAAAAAGAAGTTGATCAAAAGAAGGAAAATAAATGCTGATTCGAATGAAAAAACTTCTACCAAAGACTATGAAGTGACAAAAGTCGACATCCCGAAATATTTCAGTAATTATGTTATGAATTTACCTGACTCTGCATTAACATTCTTGGATGAATTTGTTGGGTTGTACAGCGATTCTGAAGTTGAAAGCGTAGTTCGTAAAATACCTGATTTCAAATTGCCTATTATAAATGTCCACTGTTTTGAAAAGTACTCTCCTCATGAGGAACCTGAGCCATCGTTAGAGGAGCTTTATAAAAGGATTCATAAAAAGATTGTCAAGCTAATTGAGCATGACATACCTTTGGAAAAATGTCTGTTTCATTTAGTAAGAAGAGTAGCACCTACAAAACCAATGTTCTGTGTTAGCTTTGAATTACCTGAAGAAGTTGCATTTAGAAAAAAATAAGCGTTAATATGTATGTATATAATTGTAACAATAAAATTTGAATAAAGATTCGATGTATTTTGATGAATAGATTTGCGGTACATATATTTTGCGACCGTTAAATATTTTACAACCAATTTAGCCAGCGGTTATTCGATCACAACTAATTAATTTACTTTTTGCATAAATATGCTGACAATTGTGTTACCTGATGAGTCTGATTATAGTGAATTAACAAGAACGTATATGGGAATATTTTATTCCCAAAAATTTGATGGTTTCTTAAATACAACCCAAACTGGATACGCACATACCTCAGCAGGTATTGAATTATCATTATTATTGAAAACAGTTTACACTTCGGTTTGCTTCTGTACTGTACAGCTTACATTTTTCTGTTTTTTCAGATCCATATTTAAATCTTTATACCAACCGAGAAGTTACTGCGTCCCCAAAAATGAAAGAATTGAACCTTTACCTAGTGGCTTCTTGGTCTGGATTTGGCCTACGTTGAGATGTAGTATTAGCTATTATTTATCAATGGGACTTGATGCATATTTCTTTATTAGATATATGAGCATTCTTGTTCTTTTCTTCATGTTCATTGGCTCATTGAATATGATAATACTTATTCCGATTAATGTAACTGGGAGCAGTGTCGAATATTCTGCAACTGGTTTAGATAAGCTTAGCTTATCAAACATTTCGAGGTCTAAGGTCTATCGATTAAATGCTCATTTTATAATGAGTTTAATCACAATTGGCTTTTTTCAATGGTTGCTATTATATGAATTACAAACTTTTGTGAAAATTAGACAATCCTTTTTACTCTCGAAAAGTCACAGAAATTCTGTTCTTTCGAAAACTATATTAATATCAAATGTACCACCTCATTTGCAAGACTTGGATGTACTTTGTGATTTATTCGAGACAGTTCCTGGTGGGATTGAAAATATTTGGTACTTGTATGACTATAGAGATATTTTAGAGTTAGTGGAAGAAGCAAAGGAAGCATTAAATTTTTTAGAGGAAGCAGAACTATCGTGCTTGAAGAGCACTTTGTTGAAATATGGGAAAGAGTACAAAAAAAATACTACCAACATTCCCGAACAATTAGGAGTAATTGATAATAACCCTGAAAATATGAGAGATAGTCTTGGGTTCAAAGCTAATTCGAAGAATCCAAAATTTTACCCTCCGATATACTTCAAATCCATAAAAATACCTAAAATTGAGCGATATTTCAGGCTAAGATTTCCTGGTTTTTTTAGAATCATATTTCTCGAAAAAAGGGTATCAGTTATTGATTGGTGTATTAATACTTTAAACACTAAACAGGGCTTGATAGATAAAAAAAAATTCGCCTTAACAACTGGTCTGTTAAAAAAGCATAATAAGTTATTTGTTGAATTCCAATCTCAAAAGGGAGCCTATATAGCTCATCAATGTTTGCTTTCTCAGATTCAAGGAAATCTAGATCTGACGTTAATCGAAATTCACCCAAAAGATATTCTTTGGGACAATATGGCTCGTAATAACACTATTGCTTGTTTGATTGAAAAATATTTTGTCAGTCTTATATTTATAAGTGTAATCCTATTGTATGTTATTCCAGTCTCATTTATTGGATTAGTCTCTCAAGTTCCTTTGCTCACGAAGTTGATCCCAAGCTTAAAATGGATTTATAAATTTCCCGAAGAGGCTAGAGACACTATCTCAAGCATTTTACCTTCGCTTCTTCTTGCTGTATTAACGGATATAGTTCTAATAGTTTTCAGATTCTTGACATATTTCAAAGGCATGTTATCAGGAGCTGATTTAGAACTAAATTTACAACAATGGTACTTCGCTTTTCTATTCGTGCAACAATTTTTAGTTGTTACTATCCTGTCAAGTATTACTGTTATCTTTAAACAAATTGTTGATCAACCAACATCAATCCCAGTTCTTTTAGCAACTAATTTACCAAAAGCGGCAACTTTTTTTTTTCAGTATATTACGTTAAAAGCATTTGCTTTTTGCGGCAATAATTTTTTGCGAATAGGACCCTTATTGTTACACTTGACGGTGCATAAGATAAAAGATAAAACTCCCCGACAAAAATTTAACCGTATTACTAACTTATTAAGAATTAGGTGGGGTTCCATATATCCAGTATATTCGGTATTTGCTTCTATTGGCATATGTTACTGCGTTATTTCTCCGTTGATTGCTATATTCGTCATTTTCATTCTTTCATTGCTGTTACTTTACTACAAATATGCATTAAAATACATATACAATCGCACCAATGAGTCAGATACTAAAGGAAAGCATTATCCCATAGCATTATTACATTTATATACTGGAATCTATTGTTTAGAATGTTGCTTGATTGGTATTTTCTTTCTACTGAAAAATGAAAACGATACTTGTCCGATGGTTATACAAGGCTGGGTTATGTGTATTGTCTTATTGGCAACAATTTTTGGAAATATAACTATATACAACAGATATGTGAAGCACTTCTCGTATTTACCAATATTATCCGATAAAAAATTCCGGGACCCAGCTGTTATTGCAAATTTGAAAGAAAACCCAAACAACATCCATACACTACACGAGGAAAAAAAACTGCCCAATGAAGATTACCTGAACCGCAAGTTATTATTTCTCCATCCTGCCTTCAAGTATGAGAAACCTAAACTTTGGCTACCCGAAGATCCACTTAATTTAGGCATAGATCGAATAAGAGTTATTGAGTCACAGATAGACGGTTTGGAAGGAGGAAGTACAAGTGGTGCCAAAATAGAATTCAGCAACAACATGAAAATAAACATGAAGATAACAAATGCTCCTCCAGACTATAAATAATTATTTCATATAACCATATTTTTCTTCTAACATTGATTTTATCTTCAATCTTTTCAATATTTCATTCCAGTTACCCAATGCACGCAATCTATTATCTCTGAACTCTATTTCATAGCGCTTCATTTTACCATAGAGCCAAATTTTCTTTGCCAAAACTGCCTGCTGTTCTAACACCAACACACCTCGTTTAATTGGTATTGCTTGTCCCGGCTTTGACGTAAAATTAAATCCTGAAACAACTGAAACATATTCGACCTTATCGGTAAAGGGAAGTACCAATTTGCCAACCTGATAATCAAATAAAATATTTTCAATATTAGATAAGGTAAGCCAGGTACATTTTTCAGGAACCATAAATGGTTTGTAAATTTCAATATTTCCATATTCATTTCTGGGTAATTGCAAAAACCCTGAAGGTAGCTTTGTCACACTTGGTTTAATATAAGGCGAGGTTTGTTTAAAAGCATAGAGTTTTATATCGTTTAATTCATGCGTATCATTCAAAATATTGGCATTGAAAACTCTCTTCTTAAGTATAGTCTGTCTTTTCAAAGCTTTTGTGATTTTTATGGGGTAGTTAATTTGATCATTTCTTATGGATCTACCCAAAAACTTCCACTGTTGTTCTGATTTACCTACCAAAATAGAATTTTTAAAAAAGACAGGTTCCTTGAGAAACTTTTTATCTATTTTTACCTTACCAATAGGTTTCATATTAGGTTCAATTACCTCATTATATCTAAGCGTCGACACTGTTACCACATTAGGATTTCTTTTCATCGATGAGAAATTGGAAGGAATGTTATAATTTAATAGAGCAATATTTCTCAAAGTGTCTAGTTCTTTATTGTTCGTGCTCTGATATGTGTTTCGAACATTCAAGTATCTTAACATAGATTGAAATAGCATTGCTTCTTTTCCAAAATCAGTCCTAAGATCTAATCTATTAAACCATCTATAACTTATATCTGACATATATCGAGCACTCACATCTAATATTAAGTTATCATTATCCATAGCAACAATATAATGCATGGACATCTGATTAAACTGATTCTGTATAGGAAAGTAAATATCTGTGTAGTATTCGGACAAATTCTCTTTAGTAATATTGGATCCAGTAAATCTCTTCAAACGTACTAATCGTTTGGTTTCTTCAAAGAAACAGATATTCTCTATTAGAAATATTTCACTTTCATCTATCGGGTTAATGACTTCAGTCCAAAAATAAGGATATAATAAATCAAAATCTTTATTTCGCTGTAACTTCTCGTGGTCTAGCTTTGGTTGAATTTTAACATGTCTATTGGTGGGTAATAAAGGCAATGAGAAAACAAGGCGAGCTTGAAAACCTAGTGACCTCAATAAAGCAGTAAATATTTGAGCTCCTGTATCCCTATTATGCTTGAATTTTTTAGCCATTGAAATGAACCCCTTTAAATCATTTATAGGTACAGATGAGTCAGGAAAATAATCATTCATATTCTCAGAAGAAATAGATTTCCGTGGAAGATAACCCAAAACTCTTAAACCATTTGAATCACATTTATAATTGAGTCTAAACCACTTAATCAAATACTTAACAATATATATAAAATTTGCATAAACTTCATTTTTCAAGGATGCATCTGTTGGTGCTAATCTAAACTTTTTTAGCACCCTGTTGTACTTCTTGACTCTTGTACTAATAAGAGACTCAGGTATCATTCTCCTTAGTTTCTTTAGAAGTTCTTTGGAATTGAGCCATTTGTTCCGCTGAAACCCATGCATCATATATGATATCATGCCAAGATAATGTATAGTTTTCCTTCTTTGTTTGTTCTCAATAGCAGCCCTTAATTTATCTCTGTTTTTTTTTTCTTCCTGATTTCCCTTAGAATTATCTATTATTATATTAAACGAATCCAAAGTTTCAGGATCATTTAGTGGAACATCTTCCCAATCGCTAAAGTCATCATCAGAATCAGTAGAACTCTCATTTTTGTCTGTCTTTCTTCTTTTCACGTTTACGTCTCCTTCTGAGCTAGTATCTGAAAGAAATAGTTCTTCATTGTTATGCTCTGCAGTATGATTCATAACAAAGCAAAACTCTTCTGATACATTCCTATCTTAACTACTAGATCTCTTGTATGTATTACACGTGATCAAATCAAGACCCTAATATCATCAAATGCAAAATGTATATTGTTTAAATAACTACGAGTGTATCAAATCACTTATTTCCTTCCATTCTTGTATCAACCCCCACTGGTTTGTCAGTTCTGGTACAGTATCATGACCATAAACAGTAATTTCTTCAAATTTGGCTACAGGAGTATATGTGTTCACGGTTATGTAGTCCTCCAACGTCTCATCATCCACTTTGGCCAAGCTTTCTGATTTATTGATTAAATAGCCATTATAATCATTGGAAATATTCATATTTTTGCCTACTAATTTGCATCCTCTAAAATATGCCACTTCCACCTGCCCTCCAGTAGGTTGAGTTTCCTGTTTTTTACTTGGGGTGAAATAGTCCTTAGTATTTGCTACTCCACTATATTGTATGTGACATGGTATAATATTCCCATGCATTGTGGGTACATCTTCATTGGTATTTATAACGTCTGACATGATATGAATAAAAGAGCGTTACTAGGCGTTTAGTTAATTAAATTTTGGCGTGTTTTTGTTATTAGTGGTTCAACTTACCATACACGACTTTTGAACAGATTTTGAACCTACTACAACCTTCTTCAAAATAAGCTACAAAAGAAAGAAAGCGTTACTTAGGATCTGGGGTTCTCATTAAGATGATTCATTTACAATTATTAGTTGATCATATATATAAAACCAATTGACTCTGTCTGACCAAAATTAATTTCTGGGCGTTGTGCGTAAAAATGAAATTCTCAAATTGGAGCTCAAGAATCTTTCACCATTAACAATCGAAGGACGTATAGCATCAGAACCCACCAGCATGTGCTCGAGTACTTCAAACCCATTAAAAATAGTTGATGTAACCAGTGTTGATGAGAAAACTGCAGAGGAGTTGTTAGAAGCTGCAACAAGTCAAGGATTTTTATTCATAGAAGGACATGATTTCTCAAAAGAAGAAGTGGACATGTTATTCGAAGTATCGAAAGAGTTTTTTGCTCTTCCTGACTCTTATAAGGAAAAATATTTAATAGACAGTAGTAATCATGGATACACGAACTATGGAGGAGAAAATTTGGATCCTTCAAGTCAAAAAAAAGGTGATCCAAAGGAAGCACTCAACTTTTGCTGCTTGGACTTCTTGAGCGGACTCTCTTCCCGTCCTATTCCAGACTGGTTCAATGAAGATCCTGCTCGTCTGAAATTGGTGCAGTCGACTATCAAGAAGTTATATGGTTTATCAATCAAGATCCTTAATATTCTAGCACTTGGATTAAAGATTGAGGACACCGATGAATGCAAGGGAATTGACTGGTTTAATTCAAGGTACTTGGCCAGTAAGGAATCTGGTTCTACATTTAGATTTTTACATTATCCAGGACAAAAAAGCCTTAATCCAGAAGCAGTCATTAGAGCTGGTGCACACACTGATTACGGTTCTATGACATTATTATTTCAACAAGAAAATCAAGAGGGTTTAGAAATTTATTCTCCTGTGTCCAAAAAATGGGAAGCGGTACCGTTTGTACCGGCTAACTCCCAGAAATTTCCAAACTCGGCTCCCCCTATTGTGGTGAATATTGCTGATCAATTAAGTTATTGGACCGCGGGCTTACTCAAATCTACAATCCATAGAGTTAGATTTCCAGCCAAGTTTCAAGAAACAGATCAGGATCGTTATTCAATTGTATTTTTCAGCCATCCAAATGATGAGTCTCTTTTAGAACCAGTACCTAGTGAACTTGTAAGAGCTAGAAAAGGTAGAGGGGCTAACAAAGAATCAACCTTGTTAACTGCAAAACAACATTTAGATAAGAGATTAGCTGCTACTTATGGCTGGCAGTATTAGGATATCAAAATGCTAATTTTAAAGTAATCTTTAAGTAGGTGTTATTCACATGTATTAGTATTATCCCGTATGGTTAATTTCCTGTATGCCGCTAATTTCTAAATCGCGAAAGTAGCGAATTGATGCGAAATGTTCTTATCAGTGATTTTCGATAGAGATAAGAGATACAAATAATTAGATTTTCTTCTATCCATGTATATATTCTATTATCTATTAATTGATCTGGTAATATAATGATAAATACGGAAGCTAATTCACCTTCAGTGTCACTTTTTATTAGGTCGCCACTTCTAATCAACCAACTTCTGCATCATGAAGAGCAAATTTTTTCACAAAATTACATAAATGATTCACCCTCTAAAGGACAGGCTAGAAACTTTCGATGGGGGTTATTCTTTATTATAATTTCAATTGTAACAGGAGTGATTGGTATCGAATTGGTAAATATTGTTTTGAAAGGTGACAATTATACTAAGCCATGGATGTTTGCGTTTGTTACTGGATCATGTTTTAGTTCATTGTTGTTGCCCGATCTCATAGATATTATAATGAACAGAAAACAGGATCAAGATCATTTGTCGTCCCCAGAACTTTTAGGGGTGTTATCTAATTCTGGTCTCCTGGTTGACTACAAATCGTTGGATGAATTGGTGAATGAAGACCTGTTTTCAGATATTCCAGTCGAAATGACCAGGAAGGAAATTACGGCATTATCATTCCAGATAGCCATAATATATTACCTATACAATGTTTTTGTCATGGTATGTTTACAATTTACTTCCGCCTCGAATCAAGCTATTTTGGGGACCACTACATCTTCTTTCACGTTGATTATAGGAACCTTTCTTAAGATTGATCATTTTACCTTCAAAAAAGTAACTTGTATACTCTTTAGTACTATGGGTATTATTTTGATCAATTGCAGTGAGTCAAATGAAAAAGGGGATAGTGGAGATCCAAAATTTAAACCAAAGAACCCAATATTAGGTAATTCCCTAGCAATTGGTGGAGCACTAATGTATGCTTTATATCTTATAATGATGAAAGTAAAATATAGCATAGTTAACAAGACTACCAACAAAAGAAGGCTTTTTGGTTTTGTTGGTTTATTTACCTTCGTAACAGGAATCCCCATATTGTTTATAATCGATTATTTCGAAATCGAGAAGTTTGAGTTCCCACCTCCCAACAAGCAAATTATTATTCTGATTATGATAAATGGCTTGTTCTCAGTTATTTCTGATTATACTGCTATTTTAGCGATGTTGTTAACTAGTCCATTTTTCACATCATTAGCATTTACAAGCTCAATTCCTATAACCATTATGTGTGACTATATTCTTGCGAGGTTATATGGGACAACGTCCAACCCAGACTCTAAATTGTTTTATTTCTTAGGGGTTATAAGTGTACTAATATCAATTATTTTGATAAATATCAGAACAAGAGATTAAAGAGAATTATTTTATTATGTACCTCATGCATCTTTCATATTGAAAAATAATGTTAATAGAAGTTCGGAAAGCAAGAGTTTAAGAGCCATGCCTTTTGGTATTAAAATCTACTATGTGCTAGTTTTTTGGAGTTATTGTCAACCCCAGTGCGATCTACTTTTGTCTCTATATATTATTTAGTACAATTATATATATATATAAGCATCATTATCCTCTGCTTATGCTCGAATGTAAGACATGCTCTCTCATGAATAAGGAGCAAGTGACACCTAAAATTATTGTGATCAAACTAAAACTAAAGGCTCCTTTACAAGCTAACCCATATGATTCTTTAAGTGCGCCCTGAACGATCTTTGGAGCCTCCTTAATATAGTTAGTATTTTCTAATGCTCTGGAAATAATCTTGTCAGCTTTATGGATATTAGGAATTAAATTGTGGACTCTGGTAGTTAACTGACCCTTTAAAATATTCTGGAAAATAGCAGAGGCCATTGAAACACCTAACGTTGAGCCTGTAGATCTGAATGTATATTGAATTGATGTCGTACAGGCTTGGAATTTTGTTGGCACAGCTGCAATCAAAGACAATAATGTAACGGTTAACATTGCCGCATAACCAAACCCAGATGGTAACAAAAACGTAAATTGACGGAATTCGGAAACATTTGGGTTGATTAAGATAATATTAGCAAACCCAAGAATTGAAATAACACCCATTAATACAGCAAAACTATAGTAACGGCCAGTGCGTTTCATATATATACCAGCACAAACCGAGCCAGTGGAAACTCCAAAGAAATTAGGTATCAAACGTAAACCATTTTGCGTGGCAGAGAAACCCATGACCGACGAGAAATACACCGGCAAATAATACAAATTCAGAAAAATTGCCATAGTGTAGAACCAATTGGTTAAAGATGACGATAAAATTGTTCTCTCGGTTATCAATTCAATTGGCAATATAGGTTCAGCAGAAATGTAAGCCTCCGTATAGAGAAAAAATCCCAATAAACATAAAGATACGAGTACCAAGCCAATAAATGTATAGGAAGAGTAGGCAATGTCTCTACCTCCTAATGATGCGGCAATCATAATGCCCATGAGAGATGTAATCAAAAAGAAAGAGCCCAAAAAGTCTATACGCTTCAACTTGGATTTAATGTCTACACCAGGAGTACCCAAGCCAGGGGAGCCCTTTGGTAAATTCAAGTTCCACCAAAGAACGATCCCTACCAACGCACCTAACGGAACCTGTAAAATGAACACATATTTCCAGCCTAAAGAATCTGCGACAATACCGCCTAATACACCTCCTGATGCAGCCCCAAGACTGAAAAAAACGTTAGCCAATCCTTGGTATAACCCCCTTTCTCTTAACGGAATCAAGTCTGACATAGTTATTGTCCCTAAAGTGGTTAATCCAGAACCACCAATCCCAGTAATGAATCTTCCTACAACTAGCCACATTAAAGAATCCGTAACGCAAACCATACATCCAATCAGAAAAAAAATGCTACAAAGCACCAATAAAATTTTTCTTCCAAATATATCAGACAACTTTCCAAAAAGTGGTTGGAATGCAGAGCATGATAAAAGATAGGCCGTGGCAATCCACGAAATGTTGGAAACTGCATTTAAATCTGAAGCGATCACAGTCAACAAAGTTGTAACCACCGTCGTGTCTAGAGCTGCCAAATATGATGCCATAAACAACCCAGAAACAATAGTATACAATTGTGCCTTAGGCAATGCATATTCGCTATCATCATAATTCTCGTCTGAATTTGAAGCTCCATTAATCGCCTGATAGCTGGAATCTTTTGACTTATTTAATAATCCTTCGTTTTCTCCCGCAATATCTCCAGCAATTATTCCTGCTTCTCCAGCGGACTGATCCTTAATTATATTGGGATTTAGAGTTGGATCTTCTATACTGACCATTGTACTAAATTCTTATCAATATTTCGTTGGGCTTTTTCAAAAATACCTCGTATAGGTGCGAAACTTGGATTATTTATAGTTCTCGGTTTTATTTCCCGAGTTCCTCAAATGTGGATTCCCCAATCAGAAACATTCGATTTTCATAGATAAAGATGTAATTATTCCATAAATACTAATATGACGGAAGAATATACTACATGCTATATATCACTCTAAGATAGCGATGTTGCATTATTCTGTCCTCAAAAAGAGACTTTTGCAATCAATTTTTCATACTATATTCAGTTTCGTCGTTTGAAAGGCTGAAAAGTATATTCTACTACCCTCCAACTATATGCAAGCAAATGGAAGAAATCCAATTGCATGAAAATCTATCGTCAAGATAATATATTTATAAATAAAGGATTATAATGACTCTTTTCTTATCTTTGACTCGACCAATAAAGTGCGTGGAGGTAAGAGAAAAAAAAGAATGATTTTGCCCAGGATCGAACTGGGGACGTTCTGCGTGTTAAGCAGATGCCATAACCAACTAGACCACAAAACCTTTCTTATGATCTTTATTTTTCGCTAAATTAAATTGTCACATAAAATATTAAGCTTGTGCACAGGTAGTATTTTAAATACTGTATATAATTTCTATTATTGGATTCTACAAGCGGAGACTCAATATCATATGTTAAGATTGATCAATAAAGCGGATATAAAGTGGTGGAAAGTCGGCAATTTGAGGTGCAATAAAGATATAAAGCGTATATAGAGCTGGTATGGAAACATTAGAAGTTCATTCTAAAGATTTTTTAGTTAAATGGGTGTATGCTCCCGATAATAGCATCATTGACTGGCAAGTCAAACCACTAAAGAAATCAATCAATTTTGCGATTTATCGTAAAAATGAATCATCCGACGGTACAAAGGAAGCGCCGGAGAATTCACTTCCACGGTCTACATCATCTTTAAGTAAGGATGATGCTTTAAATGGGAGCGTGGATAGCTTAGGAAGTAATATTTCGTCGGTCAACTTGGCCAATTCCAACGTGTACAAGACACGGTCTCGGTCAAATACATTTACTAATAATTTAAATCATTCTGATTTAACATTAGTGAAAGATTACAAGAAATTGATATCTGATGAGTTGGTTCATGGAAAATACGAAATAGAGAAGGGTGGTGTTTTTGCATTTATATTTGATAATTCGTTTTCCAAAACTATTCTGAAAAAGATTTTGTTCACTTCAAAAATCTTGTTTGCTAGTCCTGGAAAGAATAGTATATATAGGCGCAAACTGACAATTCAAAGGAAATCTAGTACTGAATTAAAGCTTCGCAATGGTGAAAGCTCTGGCAGCCAAGACTTGCAAGTCCCAACGCCCAACAACTCCAGGGCCAACAATGAAGAATTATTACAATCAGTACTATTGAAAAAGAGAAGAAAGAAGCTACAAGGTTTTGTAAAGAGATTTTTCATACTTAATTTCCACCATGGCACATTGTCATACTTCAGAGTAAATGATAATAAATTGAGGGGACAGATGCCAATAAAACAGTCTATAGTTAGTGCAAATGCTAAAAACAGAGAAATTATCATTGATTCAGGAATGGAAGCTTGGTGTTTAAAAACGCTTAATCCGCAAGATTTCAATCTATGGGTCGAAGCTTTCAACGAAGTTAAGAAATCACAATATGCATGTGAAATGGATATTCCTGAGAAGTCACCTGTCAAACCTGATAGTGCTTCTGTTGTACATGATTTAGAGACGATTTCTCAGAAGCTAAATACCCTAAAATTTAAAAATGATGCTTCTTCAGAATCATTAATTTTAAATATCCTGGGAATTTCCGATGAAATAGAGCATGCACTTGATAAGTTGAAGTCTGCTATATCAATTAACGGGGCTACCCGAGGCTCTGCTGGTGATGCACATTCTGTCTTTTCTTCTAATGAATTTTATGATGCTAAAGAGTACATTGATGCAATGAACTCTGGTGTAGTATTATTGGATAAGCCAAATACAAAACAATCAATTAACACATACTCAGATGAAAGTATTGATGAGGAAGAAGAACAAGAATCACTTTCTTCCTCTTCTTCCTTTTCAAATGATGATGATGATGATGATTATCTTGAAACTACCGTTATCAACAACTCAATAGCGGAACCTACCTCGAATGATAATGATAATAATTTGTATCCTTTACCACATGATCCGGTTGAACGTGATTGTGATATTCCTGTTTGCGAACATCAACCACCTAGCATATTAGGATTCGTAAGAAAGAATGTTGGAAAAGATTTATCAACACTTCGCATGCCTGTCGATATCAATGAGCCAATTTCAATTTTGCAGAAGTATGCAGAAATATTTGAATACAGTGAATTGATTGATAATGCATTACAGCTAAACTGTGAAGATACTACAGGAGAAAGAATACTAAGAATTGCAGCTTTTGCGGTGAGCTTTCTTTCCCCTATGAGAGTTCGGGAAAGAAACGCTCGTAAGCCCTTTAATCCAATATTAGGAGAAACATATGAATTAGTTCGTGAAGATTATGGTATACGATTTTTAAGTGAAAAAGTTAGCCATAGGCCGCCAGTCTTTGCTATTTTTGCTGAATCCAAAGATTGGTCCTTCTCATTTAGCCCAGCTCCAAATCAAAAGTTTTGGGGTAAAAACTTTGAAGTTTTTACAAACGGTGCCTGCAAATTAACTATCAAGTCAACAGGTGAATTATTCACCTGGAATCAGCCAATAACATTATTGAAAAATATTATCGCCGGTGAAAAATATTCTGAACCCTCTTCAGAAATAACTGTGAAATCATCTACCGGATTCAAAGCAATTGTTGATTTTGCAAAAAGTGGTATGTTTAGTGGAAGATCTGAAGATTTAACCATTAAAGCTATTGGCCCCAATAGGACACAGTTACCATATTCAGTAAGCGGTAAGTGGACTGAATCATTAATTTTGAAAACCAATACGACTGAAAAATTAATTTGGACTGTAGGTGAAGTATTGCCCAACTACGCAAAGAAGTATGGGTTTACCAAATATGCCGGTTCATTGAATAAAATCACAGATATTGAACGAGGTCACTTACCGCCAACTGATACCAGATTTAGACCAGATATCTTAGTGTACAGAAGTGGTGACGTAGCTAAGGCGGAGATACTTAAAGTTAGTATTGAGGATGTGCAAAGGGAAAAGCGAAAAGAATTAGAAGTTAGCGGTGAAAAATACAAGCCTAAGTTCTTTACGCAAGTTGGGGGTGATCCAAAGTATCCTGAGACCGGTGAATGGGTTTACATAACAGGTGAAAAAAGTTATTGGAATAGAAGAGAAAATAATGACTGGGACGACTTACCAAGTTTGTGGTGAGCGAACTTACTCAGTTATTGAAACTCTTTAGCATTTTTAAAATTTATATATATTTTTTTAGTATTTGTTTTATAGTCTTGAAGTTATATGTTAAATCTATTAATAAAGTTTTAATTAAAGCTGCAAAAATTATAAAATTTTCGAAATTTTGCGAAAAAACTGCGAGCATAAATAAAAACTTTTACTAACTAAAACAAAATAAAATAATAAGTAACTATAATTTAAGGTTTAGTCTTTCTTCAGAATTGTTTCTTGAGGGCATATCAAAAAGATCCAAGTTTTCTGAGTCCATGCCCGAATTAAGCGTTGAGCCGTTCATATTTCTCGAATTTCTAGTAAATAATAAAAATTGCAACTGCTTTCGCAAGCTATTAATCAAAACTCTTTGCAAACTTAAATCATCTTTCATCATAAAATTGTCATTAACCAAACCATTCATTATTGATTTTCTATCAGTTAAAGAGGAATTCTCTCTCTTTATAAACGGTATTATTTTTTCTTCCATTTCGAATTTCAACCTATCAATCTCATAATTTAGATAAATCAATTTATCCTGATCTTCTAATGACGCAATTGATGAATTGTACTTGTTTATTTCCTCAATTGGCTCATTGTAGCCTAAATTTGTTATCTTACCTTGAATTATCAGACTCAAAATCTTATTGATTTGTTTCTGCAAAAAATTGTTCTCTGTAGATACAGAATCTATTTTTTCATTGAGGGTGTTAATGTAGGGCAATAGTTGGTTTAACTGACAATTGTTTTTTTGTACATGGATTTCCAACGCAGGTTCATTATTTCCAATCCAGTTACAACCAATTTCGTGGGCCGGACACCTGAAATGGCGGATCTTTGAACAGTTCTCTTTATGTTTATTTAAATTCTTGAGCGCTATCATATCGTTTAGACACAACTCACATGTCTGATAATTGTACAAACATTCATTTGACAAATGTACCTCCTCGGACATCTTTGTTAGATCGGCATTACAATATTCACATTGGAATACTTTGTGTATGCATTCTGTTTCATTATCAGAAAGAAATCTTCTTTCTACTGTCAAAGTACAAATTTCCTCATTATCGTACTCACCATCGTACTCGCCATCGCCGTCTCCATTTTCATTATTTTCTTTATTGTTGTTCTTTTTTATATACCTTTTCCCATTACAGTGAACACCTGTATAACCACAATCTGATATCACATGGTGCTCTAACTCCCAGCGACACCCATTCCATTTGCAACCTCGTTCATGATTCAAGCAGTAAACCTGAAGGTCATCAATTAAATTAGTAACAAGTAAAGGTGTGGGAAACAAGTCATTCACATTCGATGCATCCAATGGTGTTCTATCTAAAGGACATGATCCCTTTAAGCCATCGTTAATATCCCCGTTGAACGCTTTAAAGCATTCATATATACAGCTCTTACAAAACGTATGCCCGCATATCGTCGTTAATGGCTCCAAAAAAGGTTGCTGACAAACAGGACAATTCAAATGTTCCGTAGACGTCTTATACTTTATATTTCGTAAGTCTGGCTTAGAGTTCTGATTATTTGAATTGAAAGAAGTAGCGTAGTCTGTTATCTTAATTTCATCATCATAGCGATAGTAAATGTCTTTTGAAGATAACGAAACGTTCTCAAGCTCCTTTTCAACGCCATGTACCGCATCTTTAATATCGTCTGACATTATATAACCAATATCATCTATATCTTGAACTTTCCAACAACATAAAAGTTGTTCATTCTAATCTATGAATGCTAAAATCCGGAGTACTGACCTCGGTCCGGTTACTGCACGACAATTGAATAACGATTTCAAAATAGGTACTGGACTATATGGTATAAACAGTTGTTGATAGAGAAATTGAAAGACTGCTTTGTTTGAAAAAGTAAAAAAAGTACTCATTTGTTTGAAATAGAAAAATGCTTATAAGTTAAGTTGTATTCTATATGGTCAATAATGATAGATATTAAAAATATAAAAAAACTAGGT